GTAACCACTTGAAAAGCACAATAAGAATTTTGGCCCGCAACTTCTTTCCACCAACATCCCATAGACGACTTCCTGTGCCAACAACTAAATGTGGCCTTGCTTATTCACCCCATGCATAACTCAAAATGTAGCCCCAACTACGTGAAACCTACTTGGCCGCTTTCTCACCCTAAGCCCACAGCTCTCGTTGGCCCTATTGACATCACTCTTAAATCATCATCTTAGCCTTTGAATTATAAGGATATCTTTCAAATATGACTAACTCAATAAGTTTATATATGTGTGGATGCTTATACATCAACAACTTTCCTACAACAATATAACAACTCATTAACAATAAATTAATAGACTAGTTGAAATAAATATACAACCTTAATGAGGTTGAAATATATAATGAATCGCTAACCTGCGAAAACAGTCGCAGACATATTATTAGTAACCACTTGAAAAGCACAATGTGATTTAGGGCCATTTTGGGGCAGCTTATAAGTGCGGCGGTGTTCAAAAACGCCGCCCCACTGTTTGTTTCACACGTTTGAGTCGCGTTTTCATAAACGGAGTTCCTATTTTACGTTACACGCGGTCCGCGGGTCTATCCCTGTGATCCGCGTTGCGCCTGGCGGCGGCGTAAAAAACCGCCGCCACACCGTTTGTTTCACACGTTTGAGTTGCGTTTTCATAAACAGAGTTCCTATTTTACGTTACACGCGATCCGCGGGTCTATCCCTTTGATCCGCGTTGCGCCTCCAAGCTTTTACGTGTCTGCCCTTGCAAAACATTCACGTGTCGTCCCTACCCTCGCTCCATTCGATCGCTTCTTGCCCGAGCTGCGTCGATCTCTTTCTTCCGCCCTTCGATCATGTTTGCCCTAGCTGCGCCGAGCTCCCCCTTCCGCTCCAATTTGCATCCTGCCCTGGCTGCGCCGAGCTCCATCTCCCTACTCCCCCATTTGGTTGGATCCCTCTCTACCCGACAAACACCTCTTCATTTCTTTGGAATAATGAACATTCCTGTAATCTTCCCCATTTCAACTTCCTCCTTTCTTCTTCTTCCCATTCTTGATTTCCAGAAATCTACGGCTACACAACAAAGCTATTCGTCTTGGTAACAAAGCTCCACTTCTCCAAGAAAATACTCTTCCTCCACCTGCAAGATGTCAGAAAATTTCTCCAGCCATCTTTCGCCGAAACTCAGTGGCAATCCCATCAAGTATGGAGGTATTTTGATCCCTCCCCAACTCAAATTCATCATGAATGGCATAAAAACAACAATCAATTGTGTGCTACATATGTAAATTTCCCTTAATTTTTGAGTTTTTTCAAATTCTCTCCACCTGACTGCAAGATGGAGCAGTAGGTGTTCACTTCTTGCATATACAACACTCTATTTTGTTAATATGACTTGTTTCATAATTTTTTTGACTTTAATTGCTTATAGTTAACGTATTTGATTTTCCTGCTATTCATATGGTACATTGAATACTTATTCTCACTAGCCTTAAGAATTATAGAGGTGTAATTTTACTGTTAATAGGTTTGTAGATAGACTCCCTTGAGCGAGGAGTATAAATTTTTTTTCTTTGAACTGTTATGTAGTGTTTTTTGGATTTTAGTAAATTGAATGTGTTCTATTATATTACTGTTGCGAACAGCTCCACTGTAGGTAGCCAAAATAGTCATTTTTCCACAAACAACTGCAAATCAGCTGTTCTCAAACCGCAAAAACCAAACAGCATAACAGTTTATTCAGTTCATGGGCAAAATATTCATTTATCCAGAAACAGCTACAAATCAACTATTTTCCAAACGCACAAACCAAACAGTCAATAACCAAACAGTCAATCAGCTCAGTCAATCAGCTTATTCGGATCAGCTGTTCATCAGCAGATTATCAGGATCAGCTATTTATCAACAGAAGTTGGATAAGCCGCAGCTACCCCAAACAGACCCTTAATGTTCTCAATAAACTTACTCAACAAGTCAAAAATATTTACTACATTCATTGAATAAGTGTTGAAGTCAACTAACTCTATGAATGAGGTTTTTTTTCCTAAATCTTCACCAAAAAACTTCAGAAAGTATTTTCATTATAGGATATCTAACCATCATCCATAGACAACAACCAAATTTAAAACAACATTCTTTATGGCATTGCAATAGTTGTGGTGTGTGTTTTATCTCTTTCATGCAATCAGGAACCTGCAATTCATGATAGCTAGGTAATTTCACTCCCATACCAAATTATTCATTTGTCCTCGAGACTATCAAAAAGTAATTTAGTCATGATTAATTGCATTGAAATAAATGCTAACATCATAAATCCATCAGCAAAAAACTTGGACTAGTCATTCCTTCATCTCCTTCCAAGTAGAATCCTTTTTTTTTATGTAGTACCTTTTTATTACACTTCGCCGTTTAAACAGGGATTTGGTATATAAAAAGAATATAGCCAACGTTCATTTAACCTTTGATTCTTTAAGTATAGAAATTAGCTTAACTAAATGTATTTGATTTTGTTATATGATACCATTTTAATGGTTCAAGACATAAAATATTATCTAATAGTGAATATCATCACTTTCAACAATATTACCATATGCCATTCTCTAAATTTGGTCTTCCAACTATTGCTTCTTAATCACAGAAGCTTGAATTTCATCTTTGATCCATTGACGGGAATTACCATAAACTTTAGCATTTCTGAAATGTCTAGCGAATTGTTGTTCGCGGCAAGTTATTTCTGCTTTTATCATTTTATCATAAACAACCTTATGCAATTAGTATTACCCCCACTTGTCGGGCCTATATATTTCCAAGACGAATCTTTCTAAGCCCAAAATGTACTAAATTTTATTATTTGAGCAAGAAGAAGAATAAAGATTTCTCCCCCGCCTTTCTCTTTCCGATTTCTTCCTTTCTCTGATTTTTCTTTCCTTTTTCCCGTTGGCTCCCTATAGGAATCTGAGAAGAAAACGAAACCATTATTTGAAGTGTCGGTTCTTGAGAAAGACACAAGAAGCCTCAGCTCAGAGCATGGCAAACAAGCTAAAATCCAACCAGCCAGAAACGATCAACTAAAAGAAATCACTTCCAAAGAAGCACGAAAACAACAGCTGAATCCAACGCAGAACAAAATATCGCATTAAACAAACAAGCATGAATCAAAGAAACGAAAAAGAAGATTCAGACCTCAGTTTCGAGCCTGGTAACGTATGCGATCAGCGCAGCCTTATCCCTCCTCTTCACCGTCTCCTCATCAAACCCAGCTTCTCTAAGCCGCTTCCAGATGGCCTCCTCCCTGAGAGAACTCCCTCCCTTGGCTGGAGACGGCGAAGCCCTAGCGCCAGTTAACCCCGTTCCATCAAGCTTCTCCGGCAAAGTCGCCGGAAGAGGGCTCGCCATCTCACCTTCGACCGCCACCGGAGTTCCAAACCCTAGATCGACCAATTTCCCTGTGCGCACGGTACTC